TCATCTTGTACATAAACATCACCCTCGTCTCTGCCTTCATCTTCTCACGGTGCTCTTCATGTGCATATGTCTGTGTCCAAATTTCCTTCCTTGCTTTTTTCTCCCCTCCCCTCCCCTTATCCCAGGACAGGGAATTGAACCCAGAACAGTCCTATCTACCACTGAACCACATCCCTAGTCCTTCTTGTTTTTATTTTGAGACAGGGTTTCACTAAGTTGCCTAGCTAGGCTGGCCTCAAACTTGCAATCCTCCTGCCTCAGCCTCCTGAGTCACAGGATTATAGTCATGTGCCACAACACTCCACCAAATTTCCCTCTTTTATGACACCAATCATATTGGATCAGGGCTCTTCCTATTTCAGCAACTTGATAAATTATGTCTGCCGAGACCCTGTTTCCAAGGTGCTGGGGCTCTGAACTTGCACATTCACCTTTTAGGGATATAATTCAACCCATTACACAAAGAAGAAAGAGTAAAATTTGAGAGCACTCTATGTGCAATAACATTCTCAAGGCAGTTTCCACCCCCATTCTAGACGTTTACACCACTCTAACTGGTGTGTATTCCTTTAAGATCTTTTTGTATGCATTTACATTCAAATGCCAATACGTATTTGGGCTGTTTCTTCTCCTCGTGCTTCATATTATATAACATAGACACTGTGGTGCTCACTTGTAATCCCAGCCACTAGGGAGGCTGAGGCAGGAGGCCTACAAGTTCAAGGCCAGCTTCAGCAACTTAGCAAGACCCTGTCTCAAAATAAAAATAAAAGGGTTTAGGACGTGGGGATGTGGCTCAGTGGTAGACTGCGCCTGGCTTTAGGTCCCAGGACTTTCGGGGGCCTTGAGGGAGACTGCGTTGATTGCCATTGAACAGGCTGGAGGGAGCCTTGGGTGATCAGTACTTCAATCAGTAGCCTTGGCCTTGGGGAGAGAGTTGGGATGGGGGGACCCACTGGGAAACCAGTCCAAAGTTCTGAATTTGGATCCTGCTGGGGGTCTGTGGCTTGTTTTCTGCCCCCTCCCCACTTCAATTCAGCTCTTTGCAGAAGGGGTGCTGTCCATGGTGGTGATAAAATATTTAACCTCTAGAAGCACTTTGGCACTACTGGTCAGTGGGCCGGGAGACCCCATGCTGCTGCTGAGTTACCCCTTTATCATGGTGCAGGGAGTCCCCAGGGAGGAGCTCCAGACCGGACAGTGGCTGCTGACCAGTTAGTTTGGGTATGTCTCTCTCATGACCAGAGCAACTGCCCTGGTGCCAACTGGCCCCAATCAACCCACCTGGCCCTACCTCTACTTTGCCATCTGTTTCTGCCTGCCCTGGGGTGACCCCAATGAACTCTAGAAGAAAATGAAGAAAAGGGGAAAAAAGTAATGTATTTCAGGTTGACCGGCTCTGGCTGCTGTCAGTGTTTGCCCCAAGCAGTTGAATCCACAGGCCAGGACACAGGCGGCAGGGGCTGATGCAGTGGCCCCTTAGGGCCCAGCCTCCGGCAGGGTTTGTCCCTGGAGGTCAAAGTTCCAACCCAGGCCCAGCACCTGGAAGGACAAGCTGCTGCAGCCCCACAGGGGTGGACAGGCCCAGACTGGCCCTTCTGGCCACCCAGCAGCTTCCCCCTCCCCTCACAGTGCCAGGCCTGTCCTTGCTGTCCACACAGGACACTGGAGACAAGAGGAACTCAAGGTTGCCTGGCTAACTCATCTCAGGAGGCATGGTCTTACATTCTTGGGTTTGGGGGTCCCTCCACTCAAACTCTTGTGCTGATATTGAGGCTCCAGGCCCGTCCTCTGAGCCCGTTTCTACAGTCCTCCCTGGATTTGCTTCTGCTGTATTATCCCTGTCTGGAATGGCTGTCCCCTCCTGCCTGGATGAGTGGGGGCCAGACAGCACAGGGAGCAGGTTTTAGCTCTGGAACAAAGCTCACTGGGCGGGTGACCCAGCCAGGCCTGGGAGCTGAGTACAGCTCAGGCCTCTAGCTCCCTCTCCAGGCCGCAGGGGAGAACTGCTGTCCTTGCCTTCTGCCTGGGCTACCCAGGAGGAGATGACATTTGCTACTTTGCAAATGTCAGCTTTCTTATTTATTTTTGGTACTGGGGATTGAACCTAGAGGTGCTTAACCACTGAGCCATATCCCCGGTCCTTTTTATATTTTATTTAGAGACAGGGTCTCACTGAGTTGCTCAGGGCCTTGGTAGATTGCTGAGGCTGGCTTTGGACTCACGATCCTCCTGGCTCGGCCTCCTGAGCGCTGGGGTTATAGGACACTGCAGGACCGGCTTTCGTTTTCGCTGTGGGGAAGCACTCCCTCCACACAGCCTTCCCTCTGCTCTCTGAAGACTGGTTCCTGGCTTCCTCTGGCAAAGGACTCAGTCACCTCTTTTGGTCATTAATACCATACACAGAACCCTGGGTGGGGTTTTTTTTTTTTTCACTGCAGGGGACAGGAGTTGGTTGGAGGAGGCCCAAAGGTGGGGATGCAGTCCAGGCTACAGCCTGGGAGGGGGCCTGGCCCAGGGTGGTTAACCACGTGACAGTGGTTGATAGACTTCTGGGGGCAGAAAGGTGCTGGGAGATGCAAAGGACTTTTCTCCATGTCCTGCCACCCCTCCCCTGATCACTGCCACCTCATCGCTGGCCGCCAGCCTTTCTGTCCCGAGTCCCAGGTGGTCCTCGCCTCCACACTGTTCCGGTTCCCAAGTGTTGTACAGGCCTGCAGCAGGCCCTCTGCTGGGACCCTGCCCTGGCTCCCTGGGCCCAAGACTTTCCTTGTTGAAGCCTGAGCAGCTTCCGCCTAGGATCCTGTTGCCAAGTGGCTCAGTTCCTTTGATGTCCCCAGGACGATCCTTCAGTCCCGTGTACAGATTTCTCCCCAGACCAGCCTGCTCCCCCGCTGTGGGCCTCAGCTGTGCCTCAGATCCATCTTAGGCCCGATCCCTTCAGCCCACCTGCCCTCCTTGCTGGCCAAAATGCTGCCCCGCCTTCAGGGTCAGCCCAAATGTCATCTCCTCCTCCTGGGTAGCCTAATGATGGCACTCTGCCCTGATTCCTGTTCAGTCAAGGCATCCAGAGGGAGCCCTTGTCCTCTCTTGGGTCCTGTGTTGCTTTATCTGCATTTTCTTGCTGGTTCTCGAGGAATCGGGAATAGGCGGAGGGGCAGGAACAGTTCTTATAGTGAAAAGAACTCTGGGACAGCTGGTGTCTCCACAGCATGAATCCCCTGACCCAAGAAGAATAATCCAGAAGAATCTAGAACATTTTAGATTCTGGGCCTTCTGTCTTGGACTGCTAGATCTGAACTTCTGAGGGACAGGGAGGGCCACTGGTATCTCCCTGGTATAGAGAGATGAGCAGTGACCATCCCAACCCAGGCCATCACTTGACCTCTCAGGTCCTGGTTCTGCCTGTTAGTGCAAGAACCCATGCAATAGCAGCCCCCCACTCCAAGGAGAGCGAGCCCCATGTAGACCCCACAGGGTCCAAAAGGGTAGCGAGATTGAGCCGTGCTCTTTATAGAAGCAAAAAATTTAAAAACTCATTATCCAACAGTGGGGTAAATCAGAGATGTCCTCCCTAAGGATTAGCCAGAGACTGAAAATGTGACATGAGAAAGTACATTCTTTTGTGAAATGGGCAGAACTGGTCCCTAAAGTCACTGGCCTTTGGGGTCACCTCATGACACACGAGGGCTTGTGACTTGCTCTAACCCAGAGAGGCTATATACCAGCTTGGGGACTCTGCCTTATGCCCTGGCAGATGCTGCTTTTGGACTTGGGGACCCTGAGCCACAGGAAAACCCACTCACCCACCCGCCCTTCTGTAGACCTTAAGACAGGGAAGCCCAGTTGTCCCACTGTGCCCCAAGCACCAGCTGTGACCCAGGATGTTCCAGGCCAGCCCAGCTCCTGACGTCAGCAACCCCAGCAGATGCCAGTGGAGCTGAGTGCCCAGCCTCAGCACAGAACCCAGTGACTCCGCCACAGCAGGGCGCGCGAGCAGGAGCAGCGTCAGGAGGCTCTGGGCAGCAGCCCAGCTAAGGACGTGTGAGACCACGAGGCCGGGCCCTTGCCGGAGTGGTCTCCCTGATTTCTCCTTGGGTTTTACACCACGAGTAGGTATGTTCCTTTAAGAGAACCACTGTCATTCTTTACAATGAAACCTATTTCAGTTTAAAAACCCAAAACTCCAAAAAGGGTCGATAAATGAGTGGCCCACCCAGGGCACACCTCACCTCCACCCACAGTGGAAGGCATCCCATTGCCAGAAAGTTCCCTCTTGGGTATGGAGCCCATTCCACTTCAGAGGCCGCCGCTTCTGGGGACCACACTGCCCAACCGCTGAAGGGAACCGAATATCCTGTGACCCTCCACACCTTCACCCAACGCAATCCCTTTGTTAGTCCCTGAAGAACACCTGCAGCCACGTCTCCCCGTGTCCTGCCTGGACCAGCAGCTGGGGCTCAGCTTGCTCCTGCCCCACCCTCACTTCACTGAGGCCAAGGTGCCAGTCACTACTGGTGCTGGAGGAAGCTGGGCGGGGCTGGGGCTCAGTGGCAGAGTGTGAGGCCTCGGTTCGACCCTCAGCACCACATAGAAATAAGTAAATAAAGGTATTGTGTCCACCTAAAGTAAAAAAAAAAAAAAAAAAAAATTATATATATGAGGTGGCGGCCAAGGCTCAGAGGGGGCAGGGCCAGCGGAGGCAGCTCACAGCAGAGAATGGTGTCAGGAAAGAACCAATGGCATGAGCCACTGAGCCACCTACCCTGGGAGGGCACAAGGACACCTTATCAGGTCACACCTGGGATAGGCAGGGTGTAAAGCGCATGTGGGGAGAAGCAGGCGCCCAGAGGCTGAGAGCCCCACCCCACGTCAGAAACCTCCTGGGGCCACTGATGCCGCATTCTGAGGTGGGAGAGCACCTGGCGTGATGGGTGGGGGAGAGGCCACAGACACTCCAGGGTCACCTCTCCGGGAAAAAGAACACTCATAGAGGAGCCTTGAAAAAGAAAATCAAGTCTGCTTTTATTGTCGCACCAATAGACCAGCCACAATTTGGAAGGGATGATAACACGGATAATAACAACCATAATTGAAGCAAATTAAATGAACAGCATCCGACCCGGCCTTCCAGTGACACGATGCCGCGATAAGTTAAGGAAGCCGCTGCTCGACACTCGCACCTCACTTCATGTTCTTGACAAAGTCTTCTCCTTTCTTGATGGAGGCTTTCAGCTCAGGGATGGCCTCGGCAATCATCTTCTCTTCAAAGGAAGAGACTTTGCCGATGCCCAGGTTCTTCTCCAGGCCCTTTTTCTGGAGGGGAGAAGGAAGATGGCAACATTTGAAAAATCAGCGTGTCACAGAAAACCCAACCTGCGCCTTCCCTGGCTCTGCCTGGCCATCACACCAGCCGCTGTGGGCAGCCAAGGACCCCAGTGGATCTGAGCCCAGGTCGGGAGCCCCAGCTGCAGACAGACCATCCCAGGGGGGTCCTGGCCGTCCTCACTGCACACGTGGCGTGGACAATTGCTTTCATTCCTATCTGCTTTCCTATCTACAGGACGAGTGCTCCCCTCCCTCCCTGCCACTCGAGTGCAGGCGAAGTCAACTGGGCTCAGCACTGGCCCAGAGTGCTCACAGCTAGCAGAACTGACCACATAGTACTTCTGGGTTCTAGTCTCTTCCCCAAGTTCAAAGATGGAAGGAATGTTAACATTTACTTGACTCAAATCTACTTAAGTGGGTGAATATCTGACATCAAAGACAGAGGTGTCAGCCAGGTGCGATGCCACACACCTGTAATCCTGTGGCTCAGGAGGCCAAGGCAGCAACTTAGTGAGGCCCTGAGCAACTTAGCAAGACCCCGTCTCTAAACAAACAGGCAGAGGATGTGGCTCAGAGGTTAAGCAACCCTGGGTTTAATCCAGGCGCACACATAGGAGTCTTGTCACTGTGTCACCTCCCAAAAGCTGTCTGTGCAACAGCCTCCAACCCAGCTCCAAGGTGATCTGCTGTCTCTTCTCCTGCCTAGGCCCCCAGATGCAGGTACTCTCCCCACAGCTCTGCCACACCTGCCACCACCTGAGCCCTGAACCATACTGCACAACACATTCCCACCATAGGGAGCTCCATGGCCAGAGGCCATGTCCTATGGATCCCCAGAGTCAGAGTGTCTGTCTGTAAGTGGTCCTGTAGGCCATGAGACCTAATTCCTGGGTGTGAAGTGATGTGATCACACGTGTGCCTGATTTCAGTAGCTGCTCACACATGTGGAAAGCTGAGACGGAGGGGTCTCTGCTCACTCAAGACTCAGTGAAGAGCCAGTCAGACCTCACAGGTGCCCCCGAACAGCTACCCGAAGCCAGCACTGTGACCAGATGGGCTCCGTCCCTAGAAGCACATCCCCAGGAGGAAAGCACCGGGGCAGGACCGAAGTCCACAGCCACGCAACAGCTCCAGGCCTCCCGGGAGTGCAGCCGCAGCTGAGGTCAAAGTAGAGCGAGAGGCGTGGCGATGGCTTCAGGGCTGGCTGGCCAGGGAGGCTCTCAGAGCTGTCCTGCTGCCTTGAGCCCGAGGGTCTCATTTATCACATTTAGCTGCTCAGCACCAGCTGCTCAGTCCGCGCGGAGGAGGAGATGCACACTCCTCAGCGTGACACTCTTGGCTCTTAACTGAGGTGTGCTTCCACCCTCACAGCTTGAGCACACACCAGGCAGGGGTGTGCAGCCACTGCACAGGGACATGTGCACTGTGGAGCCAAGGGACAGGGACCTGCTCTCCCGGGGCTACATACCCCCAGCAGCAAGGGCGTGGAGAAGTAGGTGCACTCAGTTTCCTGGGACTTCACGAAGGAGCACTCGACCACGCCTTCCTTGCCGTTCATCGCATCCACAAGGGAGAAGACAAAGCGGGCGCCAGCGTAGGCCATGGACAGGGTGGCAGAGCCTAGGGGAGCCAGTCGGGTTGGCCAGCTGGTACTGCAGCCCAGACCCAGGGAGCCTGCTCCATAGGACAACTGCAGCCGCCCCAGCTCCCCAGCTGAGAATCCCCCCTTGGACTTCACTGTCTTCTGAATGACAGAGTCAGTTCTCGTCCCCACCGTCACCCCAGCCCACATGGCAAGCCAAGCTCCTCCTCTGCAGAACCAAGCTTAGGCAAAGGCACATGGAAAACCCCACTCTGGCCTGAGCAGTCTTGCCCTCCAGCCCCATCTCTCAGGGCTCCCCTTCCATCTCAGGGTTTCCTGAGGACCCTACCTGCTCCAGCTTTAGCCTTCACCACCTCGGTGCCAGCCTCCTGGATCCGTCCGGTGAGTGCTGTCAGCTGGTCTTGGGGGAAGTCCACCTTGGGAGTACACTGCAAGCCCAGCCGCAGGTCAGGAGAGCAGCTCCAGGCTCAGCCCAGGAGCAGACCCCCAGGCCCCACCCCAACCCCTGCCCTTCCCCATAGTGGGCTCCCTCCTGTGACCACCTCAAGGGAAACTGGGATTGTTTCTTATAAAGACCAAAAGAAACTTCATAGGGCGGCTTGGCGAGAGCCGCCCGCCCCTGCTTTTCTCCAGGTATTTGGTTTGCACTCAGGAGCACTCGCCAGCCCTTTTTATTTACTTATTTTTCATTTTGAGATTGTCTTTTGGCTAAGTTGCTGGGGCTGGCTTTGAACTTACAATCCTCCTGCCTTAGCCTCCTGAGTAACAGATCACAGGAGTGTGACACCACGCCTGGCCTGCTACTAATTTTGAAAGAACCTTTTACATTTTATACTAATTTTAGAGGAAAGTTGAAAAATTACCACATAGATGTCCCGTAGATGGCTTTCCCCAATGTGGGCATTTTCTGTGACCACAGGGCAGCTGTGTGGCTGGGAGACTGTACATCAGAACCTGAGCTACAGACATTCCGATGCCCATTTCCCCACTGCTGTCCCTGTTCTGTTCTAGAGCCAGGTTCGGAATCCCAGCTTGCACTCAGTCTGTTCCGAGTCCCTCAGCTTTTCCTGATTTTTCTTTCTTGATCACTGCATTTGTGAATCAATCAATTTGGATGTGTCAGACATTTCCTCATGATTTTCTTGTAAGATCATGCATTTTGGGCAAAAATACCACAAACATTTTGTCTTTCTTAGGCACTATATTCAGGGCCATGAGGTCAATCTGATGGGTCTCCTTCCTGGTGGTGCCAACCGTCTCTCTATGCCTCCTTCCCATCTTAAAGATAGGGTCTGGCTATGTTGCCCGGACTGGCCTTGAACTTGTGGGCTCTGTGCTCCTCCTACCTCAGCCTCCTAAGCAGCAGGGTCTGCAGGCACCACTGTGTGGCAGCTTCTGTTCATTTTTAAACAGCACCTTTCCTGCCCTGATCTAGCTCAGGAATCATGATGCTTTCCACACAGTTCCCACGGTGTGCTGAAGCCCACTGCCGTCCTCTGACCCACGAGACCCCACAGGCTAGTCAGGAAGCCCCAGGCATCCTGGGGCTGCTGCTGAATCTTTTCGAAATACAGTGGATGCTTCCATTTTTTCCATCCTGAGGGCCTCAGGACAGCCTTGCAAGAACACTCACACACCTGAGAGATTAGGGGGATGATGGTCTTCCCAGCATGGCCACCAATGACAGGAACGCTGACCCGAGCTGGATCCAAACCCTGCTCACCAAAGTATGAAGCTTGGTTAGTCGGTGATAAGCACTCTGGGAATGAAGCGCTCATATCCATCTACATCACCCACACTGGGAAAATCCACAGAACTCAGAACAAAGGAAGCAGGGAAGAGATACTGTCTAACCCCAGCCCAGGTGTGTGTGTGTGTGTGTGTGTGTGTGTGTGTGTGTGTGTGTAGGCTCGGAGCTGAGACCAACCACCTAGCTGAGGTCCTCCCAGTGTTGTGACATCCTCTCAGAATTAGAGGCAGTGGCCCTCTTTCTCAGAGCAAATGTCATTCTCCCTGGAGAAGCCCACACCCGAGTCCCCATAGCCATAGAGAACCAGGCAAATGCCATTTCCCTCATTTCTATTCTGGGAAACTCAGAGGTTAGAAGTGTGGCAACTCCAACTCATTGGGATGGAAAGAACAAAACTGAGTTGTATGAGATCAAAATATGGTTCAAGGTAGCAGGGCTTGCTGGACAGGCGGACTCACTTTTAAACCGGAGGTATGATGCCTCCAAGGACCTGTGTCCCAAGTGTTTCTAAAAGCAGACAAAAAAGAACCTGGTGGGAGTGACTGTGGGGAGGTAAGCAGCGATCATAGTAATGCCACCTTCCCCAAGTGCTGAGTCCCAGGAGCCCGGCTCATGTCAGGAGACAGCCTGCCTAGGAGGGCGGCCAAGACCCATGGGGCACACGTGCCGAGCTCTGCATGTCCCTGGGACAGAGACATACTCCCTGTGTCTGCCCTTTCAATAAGGACAGGTGATGGCCCCAAGCTGTGCGACAAGATGGAAGAGAATTCCAGACCAAAGGACTGGCGTCAGAGAAGTCAGGGGCACAGAGGGCAGATGTGGCACCAGCAGAGTGTGAAATGCAAATGCCAGGAGATGCGAGAAGCCAGTGAAGGAGGGTGGTGCAAAGGGGACTCGAGACAGCCCAGAGGATGAGGGAAGAGCCAGCCCTGACGTTTAATTCACGAGCTTTCCGGACACCGGTTCACTTTGACGAGCTTGTCAATTATAGCTTTTTCTGGCAAGCACCAAGATCCCCTCTCCAACCTGTCTAGTTTCTAAGCTAAGTCAGCTTTGCCTATAGAACCCTCTGTGAGCACACAGGAATTACATGTGGCTATCACATCTGAAATGCGGCTGGTGTGACAGAGGACATACAGATTTATTTACATAGCCACATGTAGCCTAGGTCCTGTGGGAAATGGAGTGTTCAGCTATGAGAGCTCATGGTACCACAAGAGCCCTCAAATAACAAGTATGGCTGCTGCCTGGGCCCTGGGCCTGCCCTCCAGCTGGTCCACTTTCACCCCGGACACTGCCCACTCCTTCCCCATGGTCCTGCCACACTCCAAACACACCTGTGCTTGCTGAACCGATCACTCAATTAAATTGTCTCTTGCCCCTCCACTACTCAAGGCCCAAAGCCCTAGGCCACATCTCACAGATCACTGCAACCCCAATATCTAGAACAGACCCTTATACATGCTATGACATGAATTAAAGTGGGGACACCATCTGGAAGTTCAGAAGCAGATCTGTCTGGTGCACAAAGGGTCTCCAGTTAAGGCCCACGGTCCTGTGTGTGCACTTGCCACCAAGCTTTGTGAAAGTCAATCTGCTCCCTGCTTCAGGAGGCCCCCACTTGCCTGCAAAGCCAGAGCAAAAGGGCTTGCGGCTCAAGGTGGGCACTTCTGGGGCCCAGAGGAGCTTCTGCTAAATACACAGCTAAAATGATTTGCAAGCAGTTTATGAAAGGCACTGGCGCCAAACCAAACCTACCTCAAGACAAGCCAGGGTGCAGTCCAACAGCCCAGGAGCAAGCAGCTAGCAGCACCAGAACCCTCAAAGGTAAGCCACTACGGGCTCCCAAGGGAAAGAGAACTAGAGGCCCCAGATAACCCTGGTTTCTTAGGATTTCAGGAACTTTCTCAAATTCTTCCTAGTTGCTGATTTTATCACCCTTCATCTAAGAACTAGCAGGTTAACCCTGGCAATACTAGTTTCCAAGGGGCAAGGAAAAAAGGGAAGACGGGGAGCACAATCCAAGTGTGGCCACCAAGAAACCCAGGAAAAGTCTGAAGCTGATGCACCTGGTCAGAGGTCAAAGGCAGAGGGAACCAAGCCAGACGGCAGCTGGCTACTCTGAACCTGCAGGGACCTGCTGCATGAATTCCTCAAGAAAATGTGGGTACTGCTTTCCACTAAGGGTAAAAGCTATAAACACTAAACTCTCAGGTCAAAGCGCCTGTTGCTTCCTGTGCTGGTAAACAAGCAAGGTGGCTGGGGAAGTTCAGCAAAGCAACCCAAGGACAGTGGTACAGTCCTTACCTTCAGCTCTGCAACAAAAGTGTTGGCTCTGACAATGTCTAGGGTTGTCACACCAAAGATCTTATTGGGGTCGTACACTCCATGTTTCTTGAAAACTTCTGCTGTGATTGGGATGGTGGAGTTAACCTGTGAATGACAGGCACAGTTGGCCCAGACTCGGAGCACAGGGCCAAGAAGAGAAGGAGCCCTCTTTCATCAGACCATCGACAAGGCCGCAGACACCACATTCAATTGCCCTAGTAATTGTTTACAGTCAAGCCACTCACAGGACAGGACAGTCACACTACTGAAAACAGAAACCCCTCTACTGCAGGGTGTGGCCATCAGTCATCAGATATGTGTTGTTGCTATATGGGACACCTTCTGCTGACTGGAGCTTACTCAAAGCAGATGAACTAGGTCAAATCCCAGTTCTGTCCTTCTGTGTTGTGACCTTGGGCAAGTCACCCAAACTCCTTAGGACCTGGTCCCTTTATCTGTAAAATGGGGACCCCTAGGGAGGCTGCTGTGAAGACTAATGAATTCCTGGGCGGGGGCAGGCTTAAACCTTGCCCCCACACGGAGAACACAGAATAGGACAGCGGCGAGGCCTACACCAGGGACCTGCCAGTGCCCCATAGAAGACACTGTTGCTATCTACTCTCAACCACCCCCTGAGGAGGTGAGCTAGTGGGGAAGACAGGACCCTCTTCTCAGGCCAGCAGCCCTGTCCCCATTGCTGCCACTGCACCTTCCCATGGATCCTTGCCACACTCAGACCCCAGCACCAGACTCAGCTAGGAGGAGGGAAGCAGAGCGCAGCTTTTACACATGTGACACGAGGCCCTGCCAGCCCAGGCCTGGGCACCATGGCTGTCCTCATGCCTGCACACTACCTGCAAGTTTCAGCAGGGCTAGGGGCAGCTGTGTATCAGAAACTGTGTGCCTAAGTGTGAGGGGAAGGGGAGGACGGGGACCCAGAACTGTAGACCCTGAGTGAAACACAACAGAAGAGGAACTCACAGGCTCCCACAGTCATGGCTGAGAGGAACCTCCAGAACAGATTGGGGAAGCCACAGAGAGGGCAGGTGATCTGCCCGGGGCAGAGCTGGCTGGACACCAGGCTCAATCACTGTCTGTGCTGGAAGGCACCCGTAGAAATAAGCCTCAGGACCTCTTACCAGAGCATCCAACTTGTCACCTTACATGCAAAGATCACCAGTTAGAATGGATTATAGTCAATCATCAAAAGGACTTTTTTTAATTACTCCTTTAACAGACCTATTGCCAAATCAAGTCACATTCTGAAGTATTGGTGGTTGAGACCACATATGATTTTGGGGGCACATAACTAGACTATAATAGGCAGTTCATTCTCCCTAACACAAGGACAAACTTCTGCTTCAACTGGGCCTTGGGCGCAGTACCAGCACCACCCTGCTTGCACTCACCGGATTGGAAATGATGCAGATCATGGCTTCAGGGCAATGCTGGGCACAGGCAGCAGCCAGGGTGGCCACAATTGTTGCATTGGTGTTGAACAGGTCATCCCGTGTCATGCCTGAAATGGCCCAGTACAAGACATTCATAAGGAACACGGTGAATTTCCAAATAGGTGCCAAATGCTAGGTGTCAGCCGTTATAGGAAACTCAATAAGAACAGGACGGTGCTCCCATTTCAAGTAGATCTATCCTGTAGGGCGAGCAATCTGGTGCGGCAAGTGCCACAGTGAGGGTAGGTGTGGGGAGGGTGATGGCTGAGAAGGATCATCAGGGATTAGTCAGAACCCCAAGGTGGAGCTGGGTGGAAGAAGGCCATTTCAGGCACCAGCTGAATGTTGCCTCATTGAGGCAGGGGACAAACAGCAGATAATGGCTGACTTTATACACCAGGCCCACATGTGACATTTATCTCCCGGGCAATGGGGAGCCTATGGGTGTTCTGTTTTTCTTTTTCTTAATATTTTTTAGTTATAGGTGAACACAATATCTTTAGTTTGCTTATTTATTTTTATGTGGTGCTGAGGATCAAACCTAGTGCCTCAGCTGGTGCTCTGCCACTGAGCCCCAGCCTCCCAGCCCCCCTATGGGTGTTTTCTTAGTGAAGATTGAATTTTTTTTTTTTTTTTTTTGGTACTAGGGGTTGAACCCAGGGCACTTAACCACTGATCTACATTCTCAGCCTGTTTTAATTTTGAGACAGGGTCTTGTTAATTTGCTGAGGCTGGTTGAACCCAGGGCCTTGAGCATGCAAGGCAAGCACTCCACCACCAACTGAGCTATATCCCCAGCCCTTGAGGCTGGTTTTGAACTTGCAATCTTCCTGCCTCAGCCTCCCAAGTTGCTGGGATTATGAGTGTGCACACAATGATGCCCAGCAGATTCAATTAGTTTTTAAGGTAACACCCCGTTCTTAGAGACATATAGGGAGATGCTGGACAAAGTTTCTGAACACAGACCTGGTTTTCTGGGGACTCCAGCTGGAATCACCACCACGTCACAGCCTTTCAGACAGTCTGGCAGCTGGTCAGGTCCGAGGTAGCCTAGAAGAAACATCCCATGAGAGCAAGACCATCTTTTTAACCCAGAAAGGGTTCCTGCAACCTTTCCTTGCCCAGGGCCCCACTGGTCCTTCAGGTCCCCACAAAAACAAACCCAGCCATCTGCTTGTCCTTGTCTGACTCACTAGCCCCTGCATGCCATGGTCAACTGCATTAGCTGCCTGCCACTCCTCAGAGCAAAAGGTACCTGGTGAGAAGGCACTCCAGAGGCCAGGAGTGAGAAATGCCCTGGACTCCCAATAAGGACTCCCAATACCACTATCTACTTAATCTACTCCTATCATCTGGGGACAACAGTTATGCTATTCAAGATTTCAGGGAAATTTGCTACAATGTCTAAAATCTGCTTTGATTTTGACCTTTTCCTACTGTAGGAGATCTCAAAAACTCAAATATATAGCTCAAAAGAAAATGGGCGGGGCTGGGGATGTGGTAGCGCGCTTGCCTGGCATGCGTGTGGCCCGGGTTCGATCCTCAGCACCACATACAAACAATGATGTTGTGCCCGCCGAAAACTAACTAAATAAATATTAAAAAAATTCTCTTAAAAAAAGAAGAAAATGGGCAAAGAAATTCAGGGGAACCATGGAAGGCTCATAAATACAAGCTGAGAGCTTCCTGAACCGAAGTACTACCGAATATGGTCTTCTTACCCACTGTCAACAGGCAATGGCATTTAGTACAACCTTCAGCAATTTGTACTTTATGGCAAAAACTTTGAAATATCCACACCTACTGACTCACTCTACTTTTAGTATTCCAAGAAACAAGATGTAAAGATAAAGATATTTATTGCAACTTGCAGCCTGATGGCCAATAGTATTGCTAAGTAAATAAATGAGAAATTATGGGACAGCTTTAAAAATGATTTTTTTTTTTTAAAGAGAGAGAGAATTTTTTTTTTTTTTTAAAGAGAGAGTGAGAGACAGACAGAGAGACAGAGAGAGAGAATTTTTTAATATTTATTTTTTAGTTCTTGGCGGACACAACATCTTTGTATGTGGTGCTGAGGATCGAACCCGGGCCGCACGCATGCCAGGTGAGCGCGCTACCGCTTGAGCCACATCTCCAGCCCGAGAGAGAGAATTTTAATATTTATTTTTTAGTTTTCGGCAAACACAACATCTTTGTTTGTATGTGGTGCTGAGGATCGAACCCAGGCCACACGCATGCCAGGCGAGCGCGCTACCGCTTGAGCCACATCCCCAGCCCTTTAAAAATGATTTTACCAAAAATTTGATGACATGAAAAAATGGTGATGTACTGATGTACCTATGGAAGGGCTCAGCAGGAGGTGGAGGGAAGGCAGCCTGCACCCCAGGGAGTAGCACCTTCTCCTGCCCCCAGCAGCTTCCTGACACTTCCCCTTCCTTGTTCTCACACTACTTTTCAAGTTAGAAAGAGTAAAGAGTGGGAAGACTGCATAACCTTGTTTTTCTAAGACAGAGCTGTTTAAATGTTTATGGACCCAACTCCTAAAGGGTATAATTGTTTGTAAAATTTTAATTCCCAAAATCAACACAGAACTTGCAAGTCTTTGAACATCTAGGTACATCTAAGATCTTATTGTTCTAGAATCAAGACCCTGGCCTATAGGGAGAAGACGGCAGGCTCTAAGGTGGGCGTGCCCAGTACCTTTCACTTTTGCTCTGGTCTCGATGTGGCTCAGATCTGCAGCCACCCCAGGTGTGTGAGCAATGTCATAGAGGGTCAGTCGACTCACAAGGGGGCTGTTCTTCAGGAGTAGTGAGAGGGGCTGCCCAATTCCTCCGGAGGCCCCAAGGACGGCTACTTTAGCATTGTTCTAAAAAGAGGTAGAGAAATAACTCTTAGGCCAGATTCAGCATTAAAAGGATCCACAGCACTAGTCCTCTTTTATTGGTATCAAAGCAAGATATAGTTGTTGTATTTCCATCAACTTCATTCTGATAAAATTCTGGACTTTATTCCAAAGGTCAAGTTTCAATGGGGAGAACTTCTGCATAGAGATGCTGTGATATCCAGGTCACACCCCACACACCCCTTCAGAAGATAAACAAACAGCTTCACCCAGTCAGGCAGCGAGACTGACAACAGCAGCATTACCTTCCATCTGCAGTTTTAAAAAGTATAAACACACACAGAGTCCCACTGCATAGGGCTGTAGGGCTGCAGGGCTGAAGACCCTTGCTGGTTGAGGGTACAAGTTAATCAGATGCATTAGGAGCAACAGGAAAAGGTCTAAAAGAGGGGCTGGGGATACAGCTCAGTTGGTAGAGTGCTTGCCTCACATGCACAAGACCCTGGGTTCAATTCAATTCCCAGCACCCCCCCCCCACAAAAAGTCTAAAAGAGAAGTACTTTTAGGGACTCAAAATACAATACAAATGTTATGTAAATGGTTGTGTAGAATGTACTCATAGGGAATAATGACAAGAAAAAGTTTAAACAAGTTCAGTACATATATAAACTTCAGTTCCTTTTAGAGCATTTTTTGATCGAGACTGACCTTATCGGTGGATGTGGAGCTCATGGACACAGGAGGCAACTATATTCTACAGTGGTGGATGATGCTAGTTAATAAAAATTTCAGTTATCAAAAACTGAAACTAAAATCAAACCAAAACAACTTTCACAATGTATTTCTGCTTAGGAATTAAGCTCTAAAAGCATACACAGCAACCAAGAGTTGACTTTAAACAGGTTGAGGTTTTTTTGTTTGTTTTTCTTGTACTTGGGACTGAACCCAGGGGTGCTCCATACACTGAGCTATAGCCCCAGCCCTTTTCATTTTTTTAATTTTTGAGACAGGATCTTCCTAAATTGTGGTTGTCTTGCCTCAGTCTCCAAAGTTGCTGGGATTACAGGTGTATGCTAGTTTCTGTTACGGTTCTGAAAACAGACACTTAAAAACAAACTTTGGCCTTTTCCCCTTTCCCCTCCCCTCATGGGGTTGTCTTGTGCTCCCCACTTTAGAACCACTGCCCTGGTTGGCCTTGGAAGATTTACAGGTACATCTGGTTTCTGTTTTTAAGTGGTACTCTGAAGGCAGACCCTTGACTTCCCAAAAAAACTAAACTAGCCAGACCAACCTGGACCCCAAGGTCTGGCAATCTCATCCACTCTGGATCTCCCGCTGTCACTCCCAAATTTCAACTCTTCAGTTTTGTTTATTTTTTCCTTTTTCTCCTCCCCTGAGATAGGGTCTTACTGTGTTGCCCAGGCTGGCCTTGAATGCCTGGGCTCAAGTGGTCCTCTGGCCTCAGCCTCTCCAGTAGCAGGGATCTCAGGTGAGTGCTGCCATGCCCCATCCTAGCTCTGCAGTTGCCAGGCATTCCAGTAGTCCAAAAAAAACAATGTTGATTTATCTTCTCTAGCTCTTCTTGCTCCCAAGTGGCAAATCTGCACTCTGTCAAATTTAAACCTCTAAAATCATCTTCTGTCTCTTCTTTATCCCATGTCAGAGCCAATCAGGACATGAGACTTGGCATCTTGAAATGGCTCCAATCTCCCGCTGTCCATTCCCATTCCATCCTGGACTACACACACACACACACACACACACACACACACACACACACACCACTCTTCCCAATAACTGAAGCCTCCATCATTTCACTCCCTTGCTCAAAAATCTTTAGAAGCTTCCAAGGCCAACCTGGGCAGTGGTTCCAAAGTGGGGAGCACAAGACAACCCCAAGAGGGGAGGGAAAGGGGGAAAAGGACAAAGTTTGTTTTTATTTAACAAATAGAGAATTAAATGTTACTAAGGATCAAACTGATCTGGTGCCCTTGCCAGTGGTCCTTAAGTGGATTAGCTCAGCGTGGGGGTAGAGGGAGGGAGAAGGGACAGGACTTCCTCACTCAGGTCTTTGCTTTCACTATGCTGAGATGTTCCTCTTTGTACAATAAGTCACCAACTTAGTATTTACAAAAGCACAGTGTGATCTCCACAATGCATCCCAATGGAGGAAGACCTTCAGGATCACAGTAGTTACCCTTGTTTTTGTAACAGTGTCTTCCACACCTGACTTTGCTGGGCATAGTGTCTATCAACAGCACCCAGATTAACAATGGTCCTGAAAATTGATACAGGGGACCTCGGTCTTTACTTACACGACTCTGCTTTATACTGCAAGTCTGCTATGGTTTGTTTTTGAATTTCTACTGTGTGTTTGTATTATAATGTCTACATTAGTATGTCTACGTACAAATAGATACATTGACACTGTATGTTTATTTATTTAATTTTTTTACTATTGAGGATACAAGACCCAAAGTCTGGAGACCAAGGTGCTGTGCCTTAGGTTCGAGCCCACCTTTCTGCCTTACACAACTGCCTTTCCAGCATCTCCACCTGTATGTCCAACTGGCTTTTTTTTTTTTTTAAGGCGAGATAATTTTTTTTTAATATTTATTTTTTAGTTTTCGGCGGACACAACATCTTTGTATATGGTACTGAGGATCGAACTCGGGCCGAACGCATGCCAGGCGAGCGCGCTACCGCTTGAGCCACATCTCCAGCCCCCCAACTGGCATTTTTAACTCAATTTAAAAAACGAGCTCCTGAATCTTTCCACACCCAAACCTGCTCTCTTCTAGAAGTCTTGCCCATCTCAGCAAATACCAACTCCAAGGACCCAAACTTAGGTGTCATCTGTGATTCCAGTTTCTCTTTAAGTCCTCATATAACCAACAATCAGCAAATCTCACTCACTCCAGTCAAAAAATATCCCAAACCTAGCAACCTTTTACCATCTCCACAGATGTCACCCAGAGCACGACTCTTAATCTGTCATTCTCCCTTGACCTGTTCTTAAAATGGGAGCAAGAACAAGTCATTGCTATGCTCAAAGATCCTCGCGTTGTGGTCCCATTTTCAAGAGAATGCAACATTTTTTAAGACCTGCTGTTCTCTTCATTGCCCTCCCTGGAATTACACTGGTTCCTCATATTCTCAAACATCTTAGGCACCCCACTCTCATCCCAGGGCTCTCAGAATATTCTTTCTTCCTTCCTTCCTGTCACTAGGTATTGAACCCAGGGGTGCTCTCCCACTCTACCACTGAGCCACATACCCAGCTGTTTTTTATATTTTGGGACCGGGTTTCACTAAATTGCTCAGGCGCCCTCAAACTTGCAATCCTCTTGCCTCAGCCTCCTGAACAGCTAGAATTACAAGTGTGAACCACCATGCCTGGCCCTGGAATCTCTTTCTATATGTAAACTCTGATTCCTTTGAGGCTTTACTCAAATGTCACATCCTGGGTGACACTTACCCTGCCTGTTCTAAAATCACAACTTTCTTCCTTGACAATCCCTCCTCTCCCCTGTTTTTTTCTTCTGTGCTTGTCACCAAGATACTTTGTAATGTGGGATATGACAAAAGTAAGTAAAATGTGTAGTAAAGTCCATGAGAACAAGGTGTTTTGTTCTCTGCTGTATTTCTAGTGCCTAGGCTCAATGCCATCAAAATTCAATCCTTTTGGGCTAGGTGTGTAGCTCACTGGTAAAGCGCTTACCTAACATGCACTGGGTTCGATCTCTAGCATCTGCAAAAGAAAAAAAAAAAAAAAAACACCACTCTGCCCCCACTTAGGTTCTTCCTGCTTTACCTTTGCCCAGCTGTCCCTCCCCTACTCCTCAGCATCAATCTTCATTACCTCCACCTGTCATAAGTTAACTCATTGCTGGCTCATCTAGATGCCACTTCTCACTCATCTTGTTAGGCCTTACAGGATCCAGCATACTCAATATGCTTATTTGTGTCTTTATTTTTCTAATGAATTAACTGTAGCCTAAATAAGAAATGTAAAATCAATTCCCATTAGTAATCACCTCCCTTTTGGTTGTGATACTTAAGAGGGAACACAGGCATCTCCTGGATTCTCAAATTTTGGCTGTATTAGATTCATTGGGGGCACTTGGTGAAGATAGAGGTTCACGGTTCTACCTTCCTTAATGAGCTACTTTCAGGTGATTCTGATCTCACCAGAGTATGAGAACCACCCTCCTAGAAGATGGCTAAAAATAGCTTAGGCTCAAGTGGTCCTAGGCCAAGTCAAGCGGCTGTCAAGACACCTGGGGGACAGGAACAGTCTCTCCAAAGCAGGGAGGACCCTTCAAAAAAAAGTTCTTAGGAGCAGAGCAGAATGCTCAGACTCTTTGAGGGACGGCCCACTGGCAGTCACTAGGAGCGCTGAGTAACCAACCTCGGCCCAGGTCGATATCCTCCTTGCTTCAGCCTGCTTACTACTATGGAGTCAGTACTACACGTTGTTTCTCTCCTTCACACTCAACCCATACAGATCGTGCAAAGAGGAGGACATTACTTGTCAAAGCCATGGGAAGTTGCATAAAAACGTAAGTTACTTCCGGACGTTCTCAAAGCACACAGGACAAGAGCGCATTCTCTGGGGACCTGGGGGGTCGAGCTGGGGGAGCTCTGCGAAGCACACCCTCCTGAAGCCGGGTCACCTCGCCCGCTCCAGGGCTTTCTCCCTGCACTTCCCGCCCGGCGTCAGCGCTGGCTCACTGCGCCACGGCTTCCAGCTGGTGCCGGGCGGCCCTGCTGGGGCCCGAGGTGGCCTGCAGGTTCGGAGACACGCACGAGCCCGTGACGCGCGAGGCCGGGCCGGGGTCACGGCTTGCAGGCCGCCTCTCTTCGGGTCTACCTGGGCTGAGGTGCTGAAGCTCCGGCGGAGAGCGGCGCCGGCGGGCCGGGCGAGGGCGGAGAGCATGGCTGGGGCGGGCGGAGCGCAGACCGGCAGGCACAGGAGCTGGCAGCGAGCAGATGACTCCAACGACCTCCACACTGCACTGAGCCCGCAGCCCGGCTCCGTTCCTCCCGGTCTCGCGAGAGCGCCCGACTTCCGGTCCCGCCCACCTCCGGGATCTCGCGATATCGCGATCATTTCCGGGCTGCGGGGAGGAAAGCTGGGGGCCGACCCTGGCAACTCTGTGGTGTTTGGCTGTACCTTGCTGCGACTCAGGGCCCGCGTGGGCAGTGGGGGAGCCGCGGTTGGAGTGGGAGGGGGAGTCCGCTCCCGAGAGGTGGAAGAGGACGGGCTCACGCTGGGAGCGCCTTAGAGGAGCCGTTTTCCAGGTGGGGCTCCACACAGGCCCCGACAGCCAGCCTGGGCGCGGTGGCGCAGCAGGTCAGGCGGAGTGTGTCCCGGACCCGAGTCCCCGACCTCCACCGATCTACCCCTCCTGACCCTGGAGCGAGACGGGAGGGGGCTGTGAGCGAGGCAAAACGGGGAGGGGAGGGGCGGGGAGACCGAGAGTCCCGAGGCGGAGTGGGCATCAGTTCACCTCCGTGCACCTGCCCTCAGATTGCACAGGTCCTTACCTTACAAGTAACAAAACTTCACGGACTCTGCTACGAATAGTAGCGAACCTTAGTACTGACCGCAGCTCCCTGTGCTGTTCGAGGACCACAGTCCTGTGTTGCAGAGGAAATGGACACAAAGACTAGCACAGTCATCCAACCCGCAGTGCTGTGGACACAGTCCCACTGTTTTCTTCTTTACAATTAAGATAACCCGAGCTTATGTGGATTTGCTGTTTACCCAAACAGAAAGCAGAGCTAGGGTTCCTGCTCACAAGGAATTGTCATTTTAAAATTATAAGGTTCACCCCCCCCCCCAACATACACAATCATTTCTACTTTCTGGGCATGCAGAGATGTCTCAGGCATGGTCTTGGCCCTCAAAAAGTTAGAGTCAAGTGGGGCAGGTACGTGTGCCACAGATTGCTGCCTTAATAGAGAAATGTAAAGTGGGCTAATGACTGAGTCTGCTTGGGGACAGTGGTTGAGAATCAGAACATAGTAACACGAAGGAGTTCATGAGGGCTGCCTTACTCTTTCCTTTCTCCGGTTATTTGGTGAACTATTTAGATGTGTGGGTTTGGTGTTGGACTTGGACAGGTGTTGGACATTCACCTAAGAACAAGATCCATAAGTTTTTCTGTCTTCAAGGGGTTCAATAGTGGAAGAGATAGGTCAATCACAAGCAGCAATTTGGGCAATAGTAGGAGAATTTATGCAGTGCTGTGGGAACACTGAAGGTGCAGCTAACCCAGAATTGGGGTGGGCTGTATAAGAGGACCTTCCAGAAGATAAGCCGTCTAACATGAGATATGCCAGAAAAGGAGGCAGTACTCTATTGGAATGTTCAACCCCAGAGGAGGGAGAGTTCCCTTGCCTGGGAATCAGTCTTAAAGAAGTGCTGGAGCTGGGCTTTTAACTATGGGAAGTGGATAGACAAGGAGAAGGAGGGAAAAAAGAGCCCAGTGGGAAAACTGAAAGAAGGAAAGCATGATCCTGTGTTCAGGGGGACAGACAGTTTCTGTTGGAGTGGAGACTTGAGAGCAGGCAGTATCTTTGATCTTATCACTGTGTTCTCTGGTAATTATTTACTCTCTATCTTGCCACTAGAAATGAGATCACCTTGGGGTTGGGAACTGTGTCTTTCATCTGTCTATTGAGCCTATTGAGCCAGGAGTGGTGGCATAGGCCTGTAATCCCAGCTTCTTGAGCCTGGGGAAGAAGGATCATGAATTTGAGGCCAGCTTTGGCAACTCAGATCCTGTCTCAAAAAATAAAGAGGGCTGGGGATGTGGCTCAGGGGTTGAGCACTACTGGGTTAAATTCCCAGAACTACAAAAAACAAAATCCCCCAAATCATTTGTCATTATTGTCCCAACACATGACTGGTCTGAGAGCAGGCCTCAGTTAACTTTGGGAGAACTGAATGATTTTTAGATGAAGCATGTCTATCAAAAGTTTTTTTTTTTTTTTTCCTTCCACCAGAACTGTGGGAGAGATTAGATTGCCCTCACATGCTAAGAATTCCAATGGGAAAAAAAGTGGAGGGGGGGCTGGGGTTGTGGCTCAGCAGTAGAGCGCTCGCCTAACATGTACTTGAACATGGTTTCAATCCTCAGCACCATATAAAAATAAAGATATTGTGTCCAACTACAACTAAAAATATATATATTTTTTAAAAAAGTGGAGGGCAGGAAGATTCTTTAGGATACTATCCTATGAGATGGTAAAGATATGAGTGATGGCAGTGGCCATAGAAATGGAGAGATGGGGCCATTGGGAGAGGTCTGGGGCAGAGTGGATAAGAGTTTATTCATCAGGTCAGGAATGAAAGGAATGTGGAGAATTGGGCTGAGAAGTATGTATGTTAGAGGGAAGTTGGGGGTTGGTGGAAGGAGCACTGGCTGGAAAAAGAATTTCATTGTAGATGGGCTGAATTCGGAGTGATGGTGAGTTGTCCATATAGAATTATCCACGGGTGGCATACACCTGTAGTCCTAGCACTCGGGAGGCTGAGGTAGGATCAGTTGAGCCACCAAGTCTGAGACTAGCCTGGTCATCTTAAAAAAAAAAAAAATGAAGAAATGGACTCCAAGAGGAAATATGGGGTTGAAACTCAAGAAACCAGGGTGAAGCCATCCCCTGTAGAGTTGAGGCCATGAAAAAGAAATGGAGCTCAGGTTCTCAGGCTCACTGCCACATCTGGGCTCAGTCTTCTCCACATTTTGTCATGTCAGCATCTCCATGAAGGAGGAACTTCCTACCTCCGAAATCCTCTACCTGGGCCATCTGAGACAACTGTTGAGAAACCCTCCAGTTCAGCTCCAGTCTGCCTCACTCTAAACCCCAAGATTATTATTCAGTCTTAACTCCTGCTGTAGTAACTGCTGACTTTATGGCAGACACCGTTGTTGATGCTTTGCATTAGTAACTAACATTGAATGTGCAGGGTCATCTGCAGTCAAGAAGCAGAATGAGGCTGGGTGTGGTAGCACACACCTGTAATCCCAGCAATTCAGGAGGCTGAGGCATGAGGACCGTGAATTCAAAGCCAGCCTGAGCAACTTGGCAAGGCCCTAAGCCTCAGTGAGACCATGTCTCTAAATAAAATACAAAATAGGGCTGGGGATGTGGCTCAGTGGTTGAGTGCACCTGAGTTCAATCCCCAGTACAGATTGTGATCAAAGGCAGTGTTATGTCTTCACCCCCACTCTTTAAATCTTTGCTTGCATTACATCTAGCTACCAAGACAGATGTTTCAATAGCTTAATGTTCCATTCACATTAATAATCAAAACTGAGCTGAATTAAAAGTTAAAGATTGTCCCTTCCCTTCTCGAGCTTTCTATAGGCTCCTGCATTTGGGGAGGAAGGTTCTCAACTTCTGTTTCTTGCTTCCTCACTCCTCCACTCCACCCCAGGTAGACGTGGCTTATGACACATCTGGTGTGGGCAGAGTGGTGTTGTAAGTGGAGATGAAGCAAGAAAGTTCCCTTTGTCATTAGTTCTTCTGAGGTTGATGGGAGTTCCGGGCTGCCTCCCATGCAGTGCTTTTGCGGGTCGTTCTTAACCTTCAGATCCCCTGACCTACGCGGTCATGTCTCAATCTTGTTGCTTTTAGTACCTCTCAGCCCTCGGTTTCTGGAATCCTCCACTGCTTGATATTGATCCATTGTCCCTTTAGGTGATGCTTGTAGGCTAAGTCCCTGTAGGGTAGCTCCTTATTGGCCTTATCTCCTGCCTGACTCACATCTGGGATCCAGACCCTTTGCCTCAACAGCTTCTGGGGATTCAGGCCACTTCTACTGCTGCTTCTGCTTTGCTACCAGCTACCCTGCCTCCAATTTTTCCAGCCATGGGGCCAACGTTGCCCTCTGTGCCTGTACAAGCTTTAGTGGGCAAGGCTGAGCTATTCTAGGGCTTTCTTCTGGTTTCACAGATTGTTCCAAGAAAGCCAAAACTTGTAAGACTGGTCAGTATTTGAAATCTGAGGAAGGTGTGAACAAGACAAGAACTTTGAGATGCTGGAAAGAAAAAATGAGGGGGAGGTATTAGGTGGACAGGATGAGATAAGAGGATGCTTATCTCTGTGACTGGGAGAAAACACAGAAGGGCACCTAGAAAGCAGTGGATAAGGGAGGGCAGTTCATACCCAGTGGCCTTAATCTTCCCAGGCAACAGCTGGAAAATGAGCCGGGTGAGGACTGAGCAAGGATAAGAAGGTTTGCACAACAGATGCAGCCGCTGGGGAAATGCTGGCATAGGAGGAAAGACCAGAAAGGGATTAGCTCTCTAGTGGCCGTGAGGGCCAAACTGAAGTTCTCAGTGTGTGTGTGTGTGTGTGTGTGTGTGTGTGCGCGCACGCGCGCGCGCACTGGTCCTCGTGGACTTGCTCCAGACACCAAGGTCAAGAACATACACAGCCTTGCATCCACACATCTGCATGTTCATGTTCCAGAACATAAACATGTGCATCTACATGAGGAGCTCAGTTTTTATTGATGTTCAGTTTACATTCAATAAAGTATATACAGGTCTTAAATGTTCTGCTTAGTTTTAACAATTTTTACCCTTGTAATGCCCCCCAAGCAAACAGTAAACTATTTTCTGAAAATACATGCTCCTCATGCTCCTTTCCACCAGTCTCCAAGATAGCTATTTCCTGGTTTCTATTACCATAGATTCATTTTGCCTGTTCATTGTATGTAAAAATATACAAATACACTGGCATCCTCCTCATCCGACCCTGTACACCTGCATGTATTGACTGTTTAGTGGGCTAAGATCACAATCGTGTGTGAGATTTGGGGATTGGGTGCACACATATATGATCTTCAACCCAAGATCATTCCTTTCGGATCTCTAGAACTAAAATGAAGAGTTAGAAAGCTGGTCATCATTCTATCTTTTACAGGAGTTTTATTTTTCTCTTCATGCTCTGGGATATTGGCAATTAGGGACATATTTTAAAACTTCAGCTTTAATGTCACTTGGAACTCAGAAGTAGTCCAGGGG